ACATGACATGAGAGTCTGCACTGATGCTATGACCAAGTACAGTCACAGATTTCCTCATCCACCCACAGGTGAAGATCTTCCAATGTTGTATTTGCAGGTTGTAGTTGAACTAGTTCAAAATTACCAAACTGTTGTAATTTATAGGAAAATTTTACCTAGTGGACTCGGGGTACCCAAACCAGCCGCGTTATCTCGCGCCCTACAAGGGAACCAAGTACCATCTTCCGGAGTATCGAGATGGCCCGGAGCCACAAGGTAAAAAAGAGATCTTCAACTTTGCACATTCATCTCTTAGAAATGTCATCGAGAGGTCGTTTGGAGTTTTGAAGATGAAGTGGAGGATTTTGTTGCATATGCCAAGTTATGTACCTCATAAGCAAAGCCAAATTATCGTTGCATGCATGGCACTCCATAACTTCATTAGAACGAGTGGACTAATGGATATGGACTTTGATCGTTGTGATCGTGATGAGAACTATGTTCCAACTGAGGCATCGACCTCTTAGCCACGTACTCGTCCAACCCCGGTAAGGGATGAATCTGCAACCATGAATGCTTTCCGTGACCAAATAGCTCTTGGTTTGTTAAATAGATCATGACAATTTGAATGTTGTACTTCAATTGTAACATGTGTGATTGATTTGTATGGCTGAGGACAATTAAATTGTGTACTTGAACTATTCAATAATTGTGCAATAAAGTATATTTTTTGATTTTTTTGAACACTGTCGAGCATGGCAACAACGCCGGCGAGCAGCAGCTCGGCGAGCAACAGAAGGCCGAGCAGTAGCTAGGCGAGCAGCAAGGGCATGCATGGCTGGCAATTAATGAAGCAAATTATGCATTAAATGAGGATAAATCAGTCTTTGTTTGGTACAGTGCTAAAATTTTGCTATGAAAATACCAAGATGTAAAATTTAAATGCCTAAAGATTTACAGCAAAAGATTAGGGCCAAAAGTTTTACCATTCTAAAAGCATCTAAACAGGTACTTAGTCACATTAGTCACCCAAGAGTATTTAAAAGTGGGCTAAAGTGCCCATTGGATAAGGGCTGCCCCTCATTATTAGGGATGAAAACGGTACGGATATTTTCCGACCGTATTCGAGACCGAATCCATTTAAAGGGGTTCAGATCTGTTCGTATCCGAGTCCGAATATTCAACATCCGATACCGTATCCGTATCCGAATACTCAAATCGCATATTTATGATGTCGATATCCAATCGTATCCTATCCGATATGGTTGACACTATCCGTATTCGAATCCGAATCCGGACAGAAATATGAAAACAAATGTAATATTAGTGATATCCGTTCGTATCCGATCCGTTTTCATCCCTACTTATTATTGCTGGTCCGCTACCCTGATTTATGTATTTATTAGAGGTAGTTTGATTTTTGTTGAATTGCTTTAGTAACATTTAGTTATTTTTAGTCACTCGAGCAAACATGAATGACTAAAGTTTAGTCATTAGGTTTAATAACTAAACTTTAGCGTGCGAGCCAAACACAGGCCTGAGCACGCACGGCTCGGATCGGAGACGCAGTAGGTAGGAAACAGGCAAACGTACGTAGGTACGTACGTACAGCGGATCGGAACAGGTCGCGTGTGACGACGTCCAAACTCGAAAGCCTATGATTGAAGAGTTTGTACGTATCTACTATCTTTCCAAGATGTATAGCGAGATCTAGATTTGGACTTGGCTATATATATATATATATATATATATATAGTTAACCCTCATCCAGGAATAAATTCCTGCCTCCTCCATGCTCCAGCTACTGTTTAGCACGGTTCCTGATGATGACGTTTACATTCTGACACTGTTCATCTATTTTTAAATATTTTCCGGTTGCTATTCATCCGACATTTTTCCTGTTCACTTTCGCTTTTATTGTTCGCCCTTTTCAAAACGGGCGCAGCGGCAGCATGCACATTGCAGCTAGCTGTACCTGAGCATACGACATGTGCGTGCATGCGGTCTGCAATCCAGTGGTTCATCCTTGACGTTCCATATGATGCATACGTACGTGGAAGAAATAGATGTGCATGACTTGTCCACCCCACTTGTATTGACGACTCGCTCCTGCACGCCGTACGTGTAAGTCCTCATTCAAGCAAGTTATTAGCATTGTAACGATGGAATCGACGACCAGCGGCACGGCACATGACATGCATTATTATATATTACTCCCTCCGTTCATAAGTCTTCGTTATACTTTTCCAAATGTGTTGAGACAGTGTGGAGGAGGTAGAGGCCTCCGCCTCTCAGACGGTGTGGAGGAAGTAGCTACACCGCTCCTCCCGGCGGAGGCACAGGAAACAGGCGCGATAGATGGGCGAGTAAGGATATGGCACGTAAAACTAGGGTTTCATTAATTCTTGCACCAACCACTCGCATGGTTACAAGTGTTCCCTATTTATAGGGCTCAACTACTTCCTGGCGGAATTTATTACAATGCCCCTCAACTGCTACAGTACATTCCTGGAATATTCCGACGCTGGTCTCTCGTTTGCGGGGCAATCCCGCCACGCCGTCTTCAAGTAACGGGCCTCCATAAGCGGCCGGCCCACCGCACTTCGATCTTCGGCCCAAAGACTCGGATTCCCGATGCTGGCCTCCGTCTTTGGGGGCGCGCCGTCGCCTTGGCGGGTCTCCGCCGGTCCGGTCGGAGACATCGTCCGTATGTCTCCGCCCGGCTGCGCGGGGCCGTGGTTCCCGCCGCTGGCCTGCGTCATCGGGGGCGCGCCGTCGCCTTGGCGGGTCTCTGCCGGTCCGGTCGGAGACGTCAACCGTGGGTCTCCGCCGGCGGCCGCTGGGGCCATCTTTGGCGCTCGTCTGCGAACCATGGGCGCTGGCGGCTTGAGTACCGCACACACTCGAGCAAAATTGTTTGTTTAATTAGTTCAGAGTAAGGCGGCCTCCGCCCTCATGGTCGGAGGCGCCGTGGGTCAAGCAGCGGGCGCGTCTGCTGAGCATAGGTCGGAGGTCTCAGCCGCACGGCCCGGGCGGAATTCGCGACAAGCCCGCCGAGCCTCGTGTAGTGCCCTACGAGCATAGCCGGAAAGTTCCTTTAGTCGGCCGCCAGTCTCCGCCCCAAGACGGTCGAAGACGCTTTAGCGACACCATCTTTGCCGGAGGCCTTCAGTAACCCGCCCGAAGCCGTGTTACAACAAAATGGCACTAACACGGTGGGCGGCACGGGCACGCGGCACTAAAAAGCACGGCCCAGGCCGGTGCAGCCCGGCCGCTTGCGTGCCCGTGCACCGCACGGCCCGGCAGCAGCGATGCGTGCTCGGGCTGCCACCTCGCCCGCTAGCACGGCCCCAGCACGCGGCACGGCTAATGTGCCGGCACGGCCTTGGCACGGATCCAAAGAAAGGAGGGCCGTTGATCCCTCCCCAGATCCTTCATGACTGTTGGATCCGACCGTTGGATGGGTCGATTATATAAGCCAGCGCCCCTACGCCGCCCCGTGTCGACGAAACTCTAGCTCATTTGTTTCCAGCTCCCTCTCTCTCCTATCTCTCGCTCTAACCTCTATGAGCGGCTCTCTCCTCTCTTCGTCTCCCTCTCCGGTGGTGTCTCCTCTCTTCTTCTCGCCCTCCGGTGGCATCTAGAGCCACTACTGGCCGGCACAGGCACACGGCACGGCCTCATCTTGATCTCGCCCCGTTGATGTAGCCTTGTTGTCCACCTCGTCCTCTCATTCGTCACCGTCGTCGACCTCGCTGGGCCCCCGGCAACTCTGATGCTCTGGATGTCAGTAAGTTGAGCTTTGCTCCCCTCCAGATCTGGCTCTTCCTCTCTTATCCCCTCCTGGATCTCGATCTGATGTGCTCCCGTCCTATAGGTCCCCTCTTGATTCGCATCCGTCGAGGAACCAGAGGGCCAGATCCCGCGTCGTCGACGTCGTCGACGTTCCCGGTGCTCCAGCCGCCAAGGTACTGTAAACCCTAACCCTAACCCTAACCCTAACTAGATCTGCTACTGATTCTTTGTTTATGTGTGAAGCCGTTGAGGAACCGGGCGACGGCGAGTGACGATGGCCCGCTCCTCCGACGAGACCGTTGAGGTCAGCGCCAACGATGAGAGGCGGATGTGCGGGCTAGCCGGAGATGACGACGAGGATGACCTGCGCGAGGACGCTGCGGAGCTGTTCGACCGTCGCGTTGAGGATCCCATTGATATACTGGACTATAATATGCTGGACTTATGAACTTTGATTTAAGGACAATGAACTTAAAAGGAGTTGGGCTGTACTCTTTTTTCTCTGTCTAGGGTTTCTCATAAGGATGAGTTTTACCTAGACAGTTTTTTAATGAGGCAGCCATTGCACTGAAGCTCCAAGAAAATTTTATTTTGTTCTCTCTGGTCCGTTTCTGTGTTTGTGATCTTCTGAAGTTTCTGTTAAAGTTTGAACTTGTATCTCTGCTGTCAAAGTGTGATCTTCTAAAGTTTGATGTATTGTACAAGTTTCTGTTAAAATTCTGAAGTTTCTAAGGTGTTTAACACTTTTAGTGCGAGTGCCAGTACGAGTACTACGGGCTGCCGTGCCCAGTAGCACGGTACGACACGCCTAAGCCATGATAGTGCCGTGCCTGGGCCGCTGAGTCGGCACAGCGGCACTATCAGGTACGGCACGGCTAACATGCCGTGCCGCGTAGTGCCGTGACTAGCTGTGCCCGTGCCCGTGCCAGTGCCGTGTCGGGCGGCCCGTTTGGCCATATATAGTCTTCGTCGCCTGAGCGTTTTTCGTTTTTCTACTAGTCTCCGTCGTATTAGCTTCTTTCTCGGTTTTCTCGGTAGCGCAGGCTTCTTTCCCGGTCTCCGTCGCCTCGTTTCATCTGCGCAGTCTTTACTACGCCGCCAGCTCCGTTAGCTTTTATACGTATCCGACATTTCCTCCGTTTGCCCATGTACTGCCTCTTCCGTGACCGCGACATCGAGTGCCCAAGCCATCGTCGAGCCTCAGCGCCATCGTGGCCTTTTGAGCCATGGATGGCCTGTTCGGCACCGTCGACGAGAAGCTTGTTCACGGTGTGAACTGGGCGCCGGATTCATGCGACGAAGAAGAAGAGGATCAACAGGAATCGCCCGTGCCAGAGAAGCTTGTTCGTGGTGTGAACTGGGCGCCGGATTCATGCGTCGAAGAAGAAGAGGATCAGCAGGAGATTGCCCCTGCCGAAGAAGATGATGCTGACGTCTTTCATGCTCTAATGCAACTTGCATCAACTGAGGTAACCAAGTTTCAATCTGACAAGGAAAGAGAAGATTGCACTAGCTTGCTGCTCTCTGTCTACCTTCCTCTTTTGTATGGACTGTTACTTTTTTTTTGGATTGGACGTGGCCTTGTTCACGGGTATGCTTTGGTTTAGTTTTATCGATGATTTTGTTTTGATGTTGGATGTCATCTGGACAGTGTAAACAAGTTTATCATGAGTTATGGATGAAATCTGGAATTTTTAATTTTGCTTGCAGTTTGAATTCAGGCTAATAGATCATTGCAACTCCTTACTGAACCTGATCTGACAAACAAACACTTCTAAGTACCGACGCATGCTAATTGTATCTAGACTAAAACAATTCTAAGTACCGACGAATTGCATGGCTTGATTATGAAGTTGCAAAGGGCACTTCAGAGTAATGGGAAGACGCCCTTGCAGCTCCAGGGTCTTCTTCTTCATGTGAGGAATGTTGTAGTGCTGCCCGCCGTTATGCTTCATGATCTCCATCATGCAACCCTGCTGGGTTAGGAAAATTCGGTTCGATCTATCCACCGGATAGTTCTGATATGCCTCATCAACCTTCTTGACAATACCGTTAATGTTGTTTGGTGTACCTTTCTCAAACAAAGCTTGGATTGCTGCAAAAAATCCAAGATCCAAGACATTCAGATCAAGTGAGTTAGGAGGTTGGCATGTTAGCCTAATGTCCCAACCATCAGCTTGGGCGGCCTGCACAAACGCTGGATCATCTACGGCAATGTGAGTCCTTGCATTGTCTTGTTGTATGAAGATTGGCATCCCTTTTTCTTCGGTTGGCCACTTTGCCTTCAATGCTAGTAGAACTTTGTTCACCATAAAGTCTCGGCTCACATCCTTTGTTACCGACGTCATGGGCTTTGTTACAGGGTCACCTGCAAATGCAAAGAAACTTATGTTAGGCACCAAGACAAAGTTATGTAAAGCATACGAAAAATTGAAGAATGTCTTACCTCTCTCCCTATTTGGACTCTTTCTTTTTGCTGGTTCTATCTTGACAAAAGGGAAAATCCCTATTTTACCATCAAATGTGCAATTTCCATTTGCATCTTATCTAGGCCTTGTAACCACAGCTAGAAACATTACCTTTTCTATGAAATTCTTACTTTTAACAAAATGTTGTGGTCTTTCCTCATCATTGGCCAGATAATATTTTTGGTTCTTACGTGTCCTATAGAACCATTTTTCATCAATGTACACAACATTGTACAATGGTTTGAAAGATAAACCATTCATCATGGACAAACAATATTTTACCCGAGCTTTTTTGTTCTCATCGGTCAAACTAAACCTAAGGTCATTAGTGTGCCGACGAAAGTAGCCTTCTTTGAAACGCTTATAAAGAGTGTTTTTCTTCACTCCTAAAGCATTAGCGAGGTCTTGAAAGGTAGAGCGCTGTTTAAGGGGAATGTTTTTTATGGCCTTCAAATCAATTTCTACTCGTTTCCTACCACAGTTCTTGGAATACTTGTTCACAATTCCTTGTATTCCACCATCTTGACCATTTTTCCAAATGGACTGTACAACTCTTAAAGGGACATCAAATTTTTTAGAAACTGATTTCGAAACTCCACGACGAAGAATAGGTGGATCAGTTTTTGACAACAAGTCAAGGTAAATGTCGATCTTTAGATAATCAGGATAGAAGTTCCTTTTCTTGTCGTTAGAACCTGCAAACATAATGCTTAAAAAATTGAATCACACATAACTGAAACCTGAAGCTAACCGGGCTACATTGAATCACAGATAACTGAAAATGGTTTGTACACTGTAGCTGTCCGACAACACACTAACCTGAAACATCACCTACATTTGTTGATGCACCTCGCAGACCATCGGTATCTCCTCCATTTGTTGATGCACCTGCAGTTCACTGAAACTCTACTGAACTGAACCAAAAAGTCATCTAAATGATCTCTGAACTTATACTGAAAATAGACCCAAACACAATTAACTCAACCTGAACTGAAACTAATTCTACTGGACTGTTCTATGAAGCAACATCTAAACTGAAATGAACTGGACACTCATACACTGGAAGGCTGCACCATCATCTTGCACTCCATCTGCTCCATCTTGGTCATCTATGGCACGAAACAAAAAAGGAAGAATGAAACCATAACCAGAAGGAGGACATGGTAAAACAGAAAAATGAGTGAAGGAGCACCTTCTATTCCATCGCCCCACACCATGTCATAATCGAGTTCATGAGCAAGGCCATCAAACTCTGCAACGTCATCCCAATCTATGGGATAGATTTGGCCTGAGTCAGGTGGCTGTAGGTTCGAATCGATCCCTAATCTAGGCATTGCTTTGGTACTGCAGCATGAATGAGGCAGAGAAACAGAGAAGCGAGGGGAGGAGTTCGCTGGAATTACCTGGGCATAGCGATCCTCCATGGTGATTTATATAGTCCATGGCAAAATCGAACTAGAGGAGTGGCGGGCAATGAAAATTTGATGCTTTGGCGGCTAAATTTTGTTCTAATGGAAGATCAAACGAAAAAGCACGGCCGTGCAGGGTACGTACGTGAGCGCGCGAAATTACGTGAGCGCGGCCGCGCGGGGTTACGTACATGAGCGCGCGGAGTACGTGAGCGGGTTAACGGCGTTTTCAGCGGCATCAGCGCATGATTAATCGGGCAAACGAAAGGACTCCGGGGCATTAAGAAGACTGCTGCGATTAAAAGCAAATCGGCGCTCCTTTGCTGCTACTTGGTCACTGTGCTGATGGCTAATACGCTGGAGACTTAGGAACGGAGGGAGTAATACATTACACTTGATTACTTTTGGTGACTTAGAAGAAGAAGCAGGTCGGTCCGCCTGTCTTGGTCCATCGACGACCGTGCGTTTGCATTCTACTCCTAGTCCAAACTTGATCCGTCCCCACTGACTGCCCAGCAGTGGGCGTGGAGCAGCTAGCAGAGCCGCCGCAGGCCGTGTGGGCTCACGAACGAACTGTACTACGTAGTACGCGTCATTGAACCTTTCAGCGAAGGATCGTCGGAAACAAAGAAGAACGAATCGAAGGCCCAGTAAGTCTACGTGGAGTAGGTCGTTCAAGCGTTGGCCGTTGGGTGATTATTGGAACTTGTCGAGGCTTGGGAAATTAAAGCCTCCATTTGTGAGGGTGTTAAAGACAGAATCACTATTAGAGAATAGACTTTAAAACGATATCTCAATTTGGTATTAGCCTCATCATTTTTTTTGCCCCCGGAACTAGAGAGGCCTTTAGTCCCGGTTGGTGTCTCCAACCGGGACTAAAGGTCCCTGTCCAACGGCTACTGCGCTCGGCACAGTGGCAGGGACAGGGACCTTTAGTCCCGGTTGAAGACATCAACCGGGACTAAAGGTGGACCTCCATTCCTCCTCTAAGCCTATAAATAACCCCTCACTCCCTCTCATTCACACACACAACAAGGAAGAATAGCACTCTTTAGTATTTTCTTTTGTTGTAGTACTAATGTCTGGAGGGTCGTCCAGAGGAAGAGGAAAGGGGAAGGGAACTACTATTTTGTGGGAGGGTTCTCTTGGTCCCGATTTCTTTGAGAAAGCTCTTTATGAGAGGTTCCCAGTTGAGAGCAAAAATGATTTCACCAAAGAGGCACCACTGAGAGGATACGATGAACGGAAAGAAGAGTGGCCCAAATACATGCATGGTGAAGACTGCCTAGTGCAGATGTTCACTGAGAGAATAGATGGAGGTCGTCTTTTTTTCAAATGCCCGCGAGCATGGGTAATTGCTATTACTATTTGTTTCTTCAATATGTTCCTCTTCTATACAACTTACATGACATATTTATTGTAGTCTTTCTTGGCCAAAGAAAACTGTGGGTTCACTAGGCGGGTCGATCCTTGACCTATTTATCATAATGCGGAGTACATCTACTACCTACAGGACCATATCTTCGATCTAGAAAGGGAAGTTAGCAGCGGTTACAAGGACGATGAACTGGACGACAACAACAATGGTGCCGATTCACAGGAGGCACTCTGTAATGATCCATATTGCACTTGCCCTAACCACAAGTACAAGGGGCCTCCCCTGTCACCCCCGCCACCACCACCACCAACAATGGGAGGCTACTGTGGAGAAGGTGCAACACAATTTGCTATGTGGCCACACTATTAGGACGACTTTATCTTATTCATATGCTATATCTATGTGTTTGTTGTTTGATTTAATTACCTAAGGCATGTTAGGTTTAGTCGAAGGAACTCTGTACCCTAGTTTGGTACATGTTCTCACATGCCATTTCATGTGTTTTGTGTGTTGAATTATATAATGCCCTACTTCGTTAGGTTTTGTTTGCAACACGTGATCAAATTTCACTACGTCCGTAATATTAAGCTGAATATTATGATCACAAATAATGAAAACAACAACATAATGAAAAGTCCAATACTATGACACATTAAACAACATAATAATACTAGAAGTACGTGCCGACAGTAGACATAGGGGGCAAATGCACTTTCAAATCTTCAGTCAAAAACATACTGAGTAAGCAATTCATCATCCGAGTACCAGTTCTCTACCAAAACCTTGTTGCTATGGCTAGGCTCACCTGCATTGCTCTGACCTACCTGTCGCCTGTACTAAGTGGCCTCCGCTTCATCTGCGGCCTCTGCGGCCTAAGTGAAGAACGCGTCGTCATCCTCCTCCACCTGTAAGCCCGTCTCTGCTAGAGCGATAAGCTCGCTAAGTCTGCCAGTATCATCCTCAGCCTCCTCTGCCTGCAAGCCCGCCTCTGCTAGAGCGATGAGCTCGCTCAGTCTCCCAGTGTCGTCCTCAGCCTCCTCCACCTGCAAGCCCGTCTCTGCTAGAGCGATGAGCTCGCTCAGTCTAGCAGTGTCGTCCTCATCTTCGTCTCTCTCATCAGACAACACAATCGGTGATTGAACGGTGCGACCAGCTCGCGTTTTGTGCTCATCTAACTTCTTTTCCTCATACCTTGCACGAGCCACCTCTCCGTCATGGTCCTCGCTGCATCCAATCCCTTCATGAATAAAATACAATCAGTTAGCAACACGATTATATTACATTTAAAATCAGGAAACGAAAAAAAGGCTTTCAAGCACTCGCTGGCACATAATGCAACAACATGCTCGTTCAAGACTTGCATCTGTACTCTTGTCTCCTCCCTTGCCTCCTTGCTTGCCCTCTCCTCCTCTAACACCCTCCATCTCTCCAATTCCCATTTGTCAAGCCCAACATCGATCGGGTTACGAATACTGCGCTGTCTAGCAAACTCACGCATCTTGTCTT